ATTCTTTGCAGAGGCTGCTAGAGATCACAGAAGGCTCAGAGTTTCTCAGGCTGCAGGTGGAAGGAGGTGGATGCTCTGGATTCCAGTACAAGTTTTCCTTGGACACAGTTATCAATCCTGATGACAGGCAAGGACAAAGGGGTGTAGTTGTGGTCGGGTGTGACTGTTTTTGGCAAAGGTAACAAGAAGGGTGTGCATGACATGACAGTATCTTGAATTGAAGGGAAGAAGCCTGTGAGATAAGGAAACTGCTCAGGCTGTGCTTCTCTGTCAGGTCGGCAGCACAGTTAATGGTTAAACATGCTGCTTTTCTGCAGGGTGTTTGAACAAGGTGGTGCCCGTGTGGTCGTGGATGTGGACAGCCTGGCCTTCGTGAAAGGTTCCATGGTGGACTTCAGCCAGGAGCTGATTCGTAGCTCCTTCCAGGTGGTGAGCAACCCCCAGGCAGAGAAGGGTTGCTCATGTGGGACTTCCTTCTCTGTCAAATTCTGACTGGACTTCCCATGGATGGACACTGTCTGCAGACACTTCCTGTCAGTCTTCAGAAGGTTTTTGCTTGTTCTTTTCCCAGCTGCTCCCTCTCATCTCCCTTACCCTGTAACACAGCCGTTACACATGACTCCAGCTGTGTGTGTGTGTCTGCACTGAGCCTATCTCCAAGATTTGTTGGCCTTCCCTTCAGAGACATGAAGTAGCTGTGAGCACACACATGGGAGCATCTTCAGCGCCTCGTGAACCACCAGCCAGGTGGTGCTGACTCACCTACCCTGTCCTGAATGTGGAACCACTTAACTGCTTGTCTCTGCAAGAGATGGCTGTATATATATGTGTGTGTGTGTTTATTGAAAGTTCTTACTAAAACAAAGTCTATCGATTGGTATTGCTCGTGCATTCCCACATAGGTAGAATCTGGGTTCTTTCAGGCTACCGTTGCTTACCCCTTGTCTTCCAGCTGAATGGGACTCGGAGTCTCTCTCCCGTACACCTCCCAGTGTTGCTGGCTCTCTGCTCCCCAACTCACAGTGGGCTTTTCCAGATACTTTGCTGTTCTCTTACCCAGCAGGCTTCTCTCAGTCCCAGGAACCTACAGTGGTTTTGCTGTCAGTCCCTGGGATGAAAGTTTTTCCTTGTTCAGAGTAAGTGAAGCTAAAAAATTGAGGTAAGAAGAATTAATAGCTTATTTCTTTTTATTTAAAAAAAGAAAAAGCTTGTATATATATAAAAATAAAATACATGGTCTTCCATCCCCCAGTGCTATTTTAGGCTGTTCCTAAAACTGACTTGGAGTTGTAGGTCATACAGACTCTCAGATTTCATAGTGTGTCTGCTGCCTTCCCTTGCCAGCAGCAAGGGAAGTTCAGGTGACACAGGCAGAGGAGGATCTGGAGTACTACTTTACGGTCCTCAAGTCCTTTTGACTTAGTTGTCTGAGAATCTTTTCCATAACTTGCTTCACCATTTAATCTCTGTCTAACTTGTGCCTGATTTGATGAAAGAATGAAATAGCTCCTTTCCTTTCTGAAACTCCCATGGAATGGGAAAATCTAGAAGTTTCCAGAATAACATCCTTTTGATTAGTCGTTTTCTGTAATTTTTTATCTGCCACTAGATGTCTTTTAAATCAAAGTGATTCACCTGCTGCTGGGTGAAAGGAGAGATGGGGAAGCTATTTTTGTTCTTGTTTTATCTGATCATAACCAAATTGTCTAAGACTTGAGTCTTTCATGTGAGTGTGGGAGCACTGCATGACTTTGGTCTCAAGGAAACTGCTTATGGCAAACCATGAACTTTTTGAGACTCCGTGCCACAGGCATTTTTGTTGTTAAGCTTCCCAAATGCCTTTCTAAACTAATCAGCAGTGCATACATACAGCACTGATTTGCCTATTGATTTCTAGCGCTCAGAGAGTTGATAGCCAGCTAGTTTCAGTTTCATCCGTAGCTGTTACAGGAGTTCATATGTGATATGCTCTGACTTTGTCACATGGGGATAGGGATGGGATTTGGAGCAGCAGCTCTTTTGGTTTAGCCCTTTCTGCTTCCATTTCCTGCAGTCAGCAAGTTCTACCTAGTTATGTTGCTATCAGAGGGAGCTGGATATAGCACTGTCCCATTTTGTAACAGGGAGTAAAAGGATGTGATTAAAAGACTTGTCTAAACCCCTGCAGGATGTTTTGACCCTACCCTTATGCTCCCAGGTCTTGAATGTGATGTCAGCCAGAACTGCCTTTGAAAAGTGTAGGACCTAAACGCTTGTGTAGGTAGAAGACATTAGATAAACTCAGTTTCTTTTGGCTGGGATAACTGAGCGATGAAAGCTGGCGGGAGGAATTGCTTTCTGAACCAGGAAGTACAGATCTGTTCCTGATCCATTTCACACAGTCTGACCTTGGTCAAGTCCCTTTTGGGATCTTTTATGGGAAATAAAAGTGCTGCAGTAGTTCTGGGGAGGTAGCAAACCAGCAGCTACCAAGGCTTTTTTCCCTAAACTAAAGCCTGCCTTCAGCCCTGTAAGCATGCAGCCTTCATCTTGGATTACTGTTCTTACTAAATGTAAATGTGCCATGTCTGTTCAACCTAGCCAGGCTTCGCCAGGTTTCACCTGCCTTCACTCACTCTGCACTGATGAAGTAAATCAAGCAAGTGCTGTCCATGTGGAGTGCCACTCTCTTCAGAGAATTTGCCTCCTCCCTCCCAGGGACTGTACAAGGATGAGGCTTTGGGTTCCTACCAGTGTCACCAGTGGCGTTGCTGGGCTCGCAGGGGAAGCTTGCAGGTGTGGCTTGCTCTGCCTGTGGTTCTGGCAGTACTGCTCTAACTGCACTAGGTGGACCCCTTACTCCTTGTGAGTCACTGCGCGGGACATGTATGGGCATTTCGACTTCTATCTGGGGTGAGGTTGGATCTGCTCCATGCAGGACCTAGGCAAGAGCAAAAGTTTCTTTGCAGCTGCCTATTTTGAAGGCAGGCTGGAGCTGAGTTCATCTGGTATTGCAGCAGTGTGGTCTCTAGATCAGAGAAACTGCTATGAGCTGGAGAGTGGTTCCAGCTGTACAACACGTTGCTCTTGGCCTCCTAGTCTTGCTTCCTGGGAGCAGCTATAATGGCCAAAGCTACTAGTCTTCCAGCTCCCAATGGGGAATGGGAGCAAAGGGCTGTCTGTCACCTCCAGAGTCCTCTTGACTCTAAAAAAAGTCTGTCAGTACATCAGAAATTGAAAACTTCTGTCCATGTCTAGGAAGTCAGCAAAGGGGGTCATGTTAGCAGAGGGGGGTGAAGGTGACCTTGGTGAATTTTGGCTGTGTAGGCAGAAAAGGCTAGATCCTGGCTCCTGTGGAAGAAAAAAACCAACCGGTCAAGGTTTGTACACTGAATAGCCTTAGGGGGCAAAGGTGTCACCACACAGTAGGCTGTGGGGCAAGACCAGCAGTGCCAAGAGAAGGGTGCAGAGGATTAGACAGGGAATTTGATTCTGCCTGGGCTGTGAGGGACTGCCAAGGCACACCTGTGAGATGCCTACAGTGTGGGGATAGATGGGAGCCCTTGTACGGAACCATCAAGAAAAAGCAGGAGTACAGAGCTGGAGGTGCTGCCTTTGCTTCATTGCAAATGAGAAACTGCAGTGGAAAATCTTTCTCTGCTCCCACATGAAGAAGGAGGATTCTCTCAGTTCACCCACCTGACAGGGAATGAATGATCAAGAAAGATATTTATGGAAACCTACATTAAGATGAAACTTCAAGGAAAAAGGGCACAATCATCAGTGTCACTGACAGGTGGGTAGAAGAGGATGGAATAGAAATCCTCGTGTTGGTGAGGGCTTGTTGGAGCTCTGCAGGGACGACTTAGTAGATGACCAGCGCATCCTCAGCCTGTGACTCTGGCTCTGTTCTTCAAATTAGGTATCTACCATCACCTATTACCTGTGGGTCCCTCGTCCAAGCTTCAAGCCAGGCAGTGGTAGAGAAATGGCAGGTTTTTGTCATGCCCCTTTTCTCGTGGTTTAGGGATATGCATGGGAATACCGTGCTCCCCTTGGTGGGCTTCTGTGTGGTATTACTTGCTACAAAGAGCATTTGGGGGTGAGTGGCTCCTATAAGACCGAGGGCCAGCCTACAGTGGATGTTAGGGGAAGAACTGGCCCTCTCACCCCAAAATTTTCATCTGCAAAATTTTGCTAAGCTCAGTCCTCTCCCTTGTGAAATTCTATGTCTGTACAGAGCTGTTGGGTGAGTCAGGAAGACAGCCAGGGATGAGGAGCCAGTACCCCCCGGATGACACCCACTGGGGTTTCTGCTGCCCCCACACGGCAGAACAATTTCCTGCCTTCTTAGGGCTTGCCTGAATCCAGCACCTGGGGGAGGAATCACTGAACGGTGGAGGAGGCAATAACAGGAAGGCAGAAGTGCACGAAAGAAGGCTTCTCTTGTCTGTGTCCTGCACTGTGAAGGCAACTGCTTTTATATCAAGACTGTCTTCAGCCTCGCAAACGTTTTGAACATCCACTGGCAGCTGGAAGTAAAAAACAGAGTGGTATAAACCTCGCTATTCACACCCTTAGGTGGGACTAGCCAGAGGAGTTTACTGAATTCAGAGCAAGCATGCTCTATTTCCAGGATGAGCTGCTACAGCACATGCACGAGGACCGAACTGCATGCTCTCTCCACGAGCAAACACAGCAGTTGGGTTCATTAGCAGAGGGTGTGATAGGATGTGCACCATGTTGATGCTTCATTCTCTTTGCCTGTTTTCATGCACACCAGCTGAAGTGCTCACCCAGCATTCACCGCGCTCCTCTGGAATGGGCTGTAGCTGCCAGAGAGACTGGTTGCAGAGAAAGGGATAACCTTGCGTAATGGTGTGTTTGATACGACTGTCAGCCAGCCTGGAAAAAGAACCGCAGTTGAAGGAGACAGAGCATTGGTGAGAATAAACTGCAGCCGCTTGTATTGTATCAAACTCTTCCGTTTGGGTAATCTTTTTATTGCCTTTTTTTTTTTTTTAAAAAGAGGATGAATCCTTGAACCGAACACTGTTAGGGGCTAGGTATAGGATTAATGGTGCAGTTTGGATCTTGCTGGGTTCTGAGGAGTACGTTCGCTCAGCGTGGTTTCCAGGATTAGGCTGCGACTGGCAGATACCTGCCCAGGAAACAGCTCGGTAGATCATGGACTTGGGGTGGGTTTAGCATCCAGTCGTGGACAGAAACGAAGCTGTTCATGACGGTGAGATGGGCCATTACTCCAAGGCTGTGATTCCTCACCCTGTGGGGAGCAGTTTGTGCACAGTGCTTCCTGCCTCTGGCCTTCCCAGCACTTGTACGGCTCTTAATATTTCCTGCTTGAGCAATAACAGTTTATGGCCCTAGTCTTTGTGGTTGATTAGAGCCCAAGTTTGTGCCCCTGTTTTAATCAGTGCTCATTTACCTTTGGCATCCTTCAGAGGAACAGAATGGTATGTCTTTCAGTTGCTATGGAAACAGTGAGACTAAATGCACATTTCCATGGCAACCTGCCATTATCTTCAGCTCTATCTGTGGGTCTCATTTTCTGACCATGGGGGTGGGGTGGTGAAAATGGAACTTCATCTCTTAAAAAAAATTAAAAAAAAAAAAAAGGAAAAGAAAGATGCTACCACCACCATCACCACCACCCCTTTTCTTCCTCTGGCTCAGGCTTGGGGCCGAGAGAGGCCTGTGACTACTGCCACCATCCTGTGCGCTGGGGCTCCGAGGTATTCTTCAGCTCCTTCTCTCCTTCACCCTTCTAAAAATAGAGACATTCAGAACAATTTGATGACAATGTTCCAGCACTTCTCTGAGCTCTTTGTTTCCTCAGCTAACACTCCCAGAAAAGGGCCTTGAAGTTAATTGAACTTTCAAATGGGTTCCAAAGGTCAACGTGTCCCAGGTCCCTTTGGTCTGAAGGGCCAAGGGTTAATTACGGGGTCTAAGACTCCGAGGAGAAGCCTTTGTCTGCTGGGACTGGAGGCGCCAGGGCAAGTCACATTAACCTCAGGAGCGAGGGACCTTCTTGCAAGGGGGGCAGCACGGACTGCTCCAGCAGGTCGTGCCCATCAGAGAGTTAGGGATCAAAGGCGATGATAATCCATTTAATGTGTGACTCAGGGGATGCAGGGCAGAGAAACTAGGTGTTTGCTGTATGATGGGTCTTGCAGCCCCCTGGCCAGAAGTGCTCTTGGCCACTGCTAACAACTCTGCCTCCCCCAGCCACTGAGTCAAAAAAAAAGGACAGAATCTGCTGTACTTTGAACAATTGCACACAGCTGTTCCTTAAAGCCCATGTTCATTATTCTTGTTCTAGCTGGCTTGACCTTTAGCTAATTCCTCTTATTCATGGTCTAATCTTGGTTACTGAGGGAAAAAGCTTGTGTCTTGCACTGTTCTAGCCTAATGCAATAGAGTCATCCATGGACAGGATGTGGTAGAGCTCTCCTTCCACATCTGCGCCACTAGCCTTTCACAGGTGGTGAAGCAGAGGACAATAAAGCTCTATCTGCTCAGGAGTTAGCATGGAGGCAGATGTGGTCTTCAGAACAGGTCAGCCAGGTGAGGCAAG